CTCTCTCTCTCTCTCTCTCTCTCTCTCTCTCTCTCACACACACACACACACACACACACACACACACACACACACACAATCAGTTTTATGTCTGTAGGTCGTTCTTCTGTTGTCTGTCCTCCCCCTGATTTGTTCAAAGTATTTTGTGTGCCCAACTGAGCACCCTTACGTAGTGCCAAACAGTCAGTGGTTCCTCGTTTGGAGTGCCTACTGCACTCTTATAGGGCGGCTCGGTTCGGGTTGTCTGTGTTGCCTGTAGGTGGTGACGGATGTTCGTTGGAGCGACTTCCTGGCTCAGTGGGTGGTGGGAACCAACAGTCTGTGGGGTTCAATCGTGATGTGAGTAGGTCATGTGCTGCTTTGCTCCGTGTTGGGTGTGTGGACTGCCTCGTCTGCGCTCTGCCGGTGCCTTGCTGCCTGTCCCGCTGGCGTCGCATGTGGTTCTCTGCGAATTGCTGTGTTTGCTGTGTGGTGTGGCCGTGTTGTTGGTGTTGCCTTGCGCTTCGCTGCTCCGCTGCTCCGCAGCTGTGCTTTTCATCCGCTGGCCGTGCCTTCCGTGTTTGCCGCTGGTGTGCCCTGTAGGTTGGTTGCCTTGTTGCTGGTGCCTTTGCTCCGCTCCACGGTAGCCGAGCTGCTGGTCTGCTCACCCTGTCGTCCCCTGCAGTGCTGTTGCCTTGCTTGTGTTGTCTTGAGCTTCACTACACAGTTGCCGCGCTGCATACACTGTGGTGCCATGTCATTCCTTGCAGTCGTTTTTGGCGTTGTGCAGCCGTGTTGCCTCTACTGTGTTGCCTGGTGCTCCACAGGGTTGCTGCCCGCTGCTATGTTCCGCTTGGGGGCAGTCTGCCTTCAACAAGGGTCAAAGGGTTCATGACCCAAACCATCAAATACAGGGATTCCACAGATTGTCGAGGCTTCAGCCTCCTGATGAGTCCATGCAACTCCGACGAAACAATCTTGTTATCATAAGTTTTTATTATTTTTCGGTCTTCTGTTTCTTTAGACTTTCTTGGTTTGCCTGTTTCATGTTCTTGCGTCCTCTGCCCTCCTGCCTCCTCTGTGCCTTCCAGCCTTTACTCTTTGTTGCTGTCGGTCATCCTATGCCTTGTTGTCCTTTGTCGTTGTGTGTCCACCTTCCTTCCCCCCGCACCCTCCAGCCTTTGCTCTTTGTCGTTGCTTGGTGTCACATGCCTTTTCCTTCGCTGTCTTTTATCTGCTTCCTTAGTACTTGCTGTGTACTGTTTGCTTGCCCGCCCGCCTCCCCCTTTCCCTCCCAGCCTGTGTGAGATGATGTCGTTATTTGCCTTGTTGTTCGTTGTATGCGTTGTTGCTTGCTGTCAGTTGCCTTGCCCTATTGGACTACGGTTTATGCCTCATGGCTTAGTGCCCTCGGGCTCTAGTCCTTGTGTCTTGGTGAATGATAGAGGCCGCTGCATGCCACGATCACGATACATGGGGTAATAAGGACCCGGTGGTGTTCAGATGCTCGAACGGTCCCGGTGTGGGTGATGCAAAGGCTTGCTGTATGGGTCTTTCTAAATGGTGTGAAAAGCTCCATATACCCTGAACGCAATTCGCGGCTATTCGCGTCGTGGTACCGTTATGGTTAGTTAAACACACAAACACATAATTAACGGGAAAAAGAAAGAAAATGAAAAAGAATTGCACCATGAATCCACGTGGTGCGATTTCGCACCTTTCACCTTCCCCCCGCCCCCGCCCCCGCCCCCGC